GACAGTGTATGAATTTTTCTTTTGAACTGGTCGTAAATATTTGGGTTTAAATAGACCTTCCCCCTACCTGTATCGGTGTAGGAAAGGTAATCGCTGACGTTATTTTAATAATGATTTTGAAGGAAAACTTGCATAGTAATTTCTAACCTTTGGATTCCACTAGGAGACACATACGAATCGTTTGCACTAAAACCAATTCTGTAATGTAGGAATTTGTACAACAAGCAGAAATTCGAATTGAGAAATACAAAACTGTCTAAATCGTTCTTACAGATAATATTGTACCGAGGATGAATGGGAAAATTTGTACTTTCATGATGATATAATATATCTTCGAACATTCCTGCAATCGGTGTGGTCAAAGACAAAATCTCTGAAGCCCGTAACTTCATACTAACTCTTGAAAAACGCATCAACGTAACATAGAAGGAGATACTAACTATAATGGATATCGTGAAACACGCTGTGGACGCTTTGCCATACATCCTAAAGTCTTATTTTCAAAGTAGGTTGATTAGAATAGAAAAGTCGATATGATTTATACTTTCATTTCATTATTATAAGGAAAGCTCAATGAAAATGTCGCAAAGATTGGTACTACTGTGTTGCTTTGTTTTCATGTTTGTGTTTGATACAACATTTGCACAAACCTTGCAAAGTATGAAGACACTGATGACAAATCTGACGGACACTTATAACAAAAATATCAGACCAGTGAAAAACCAGGCTACACCCGTTTCTGCGTATGTAGAGTTCATGCTGTTATCAATGCAAGACTTTGATGAAGTGGAAGAAAAATTGTCTATCGTGGCTGGCATGGGCATTATTTGGAATGACGCGAATATGGTTTGGGATCCTTCGTCATTTGGCAATATTACCAAGGTGTTTTTCTCTTATAAGGATGTATGGGTACCTGATGTAGTTTTATCAAACCCTTACGACGCAATATCAACATTCGGCGAAGATTGGCAAAAAATAGCTTACACTTATGACGGCGCCGCATTATGGCCCACCGGCAACGTGATGCATACCAAATGTTCAGTGGATGTTCGCTTCTATCCTTTTGACTCTCAGACTTGCACAATATCTCTGTATCCCTGGGGTTACAGCTACACAGAGGTCATGCTGCATACTGTCTCAGATCGAATTGAAACAAGCCAATACAGTGACGGCGGGTCATGGGAATTAGTAAGTACATCAACGAAATCAATGGTCAACGTTATTTGGTCGTCGGTTGAATTTACTTTGACGTTTAAGAGGAAAGCAACTTACGTCATAGTAAACGTAATTCTTCCAATTATATTTCTTGGTTTACTAAATGTTCTTGTTTTTGTACTTCCGCCGGAGTCAGGTGAAAGGGTTTCGTATGCAATCACTGTTCTACTGGCCGTCAGCGTATTCCTGACTATCGTTGGTGATAATCTACCCAAAACATCAGAACCGATGGCTTTCCTGTCTTATTTTCTTGTTTTAGATCTGGCTTTGAGTGCGGTCGTAACCCTGGTAACGGTTTTGAATCTGAAAGTATACCATAACCAGGACAATTCAAACAAAAAGGTCCCGAGAATTTTGAGAAGTATTGCCAAGCTGATGAAATGCTGCGATTCCAAAGTGAAACCAATTGACATGGATGCAATATATAAGGATGATGAGAAGCCTAAAATTTCCAAAACCATATTAGTACAATGTCAGGGTGTACTCGATGAAAATGCAACGGTATGTTCTGAAGAAGAATGCATTACATGGAAGAATGCTAGTAAAGCTATGGATAAATTGTCTTTCCTTACTTTTATGTTTTTGAAGGTCGCTAATATAGTTTGGTTCATTATTGCTACAGCTTCTAACAGAGCATAGATATGGGTAACATCAAGAGCATAGATATGGGTAACATCAAGAGCATAAATATGGGTAACATCAAGAGAATAGATATGGGTAACATCAAGAGTATATATATATATATATATATATATATATATATATATATATATATATATATATATATATATAGGTAACATTAAGGGTATAGATATGGGTAACATCAAGAGCATAGATATGGGTAACATCAAGAGACAGGCAGATGATCAGGAAAACCACAGAAGAATTATTCATCTTCTGATTGTATTACTGTGGATTGATTCTAGAAATGTCAAGACTGATTGGGCCTAATTGGCAGGATCCACTGATTTGCTTCTGAATTTCAAATAGCTAGCACCGAATTTTTATCATTAAATTAAAAATAGCATATTGGAAATGCATGACCCTTAATGTAACAGGATGTCTGGACAAACTTTGGACAATGGACAAATTAGACACTAAAGAAAGATTTCTTTTGTCCAGAATGTTATTATAATATAAATTATAGTGCACGTAGAAATGTTCAGACAATATATTCACTTAATGGCTATATTAAAAATTAGTGATTTTTGCAATTTTCATAATTATTCAGTGTTATTTTCCTGTTTAAAAATATAACAGCAAAATTTTAAATAAGTTTTTGGATTTACGATTCACTCAGCGGTTTATTAGGAGCATTATATTACATTATGGAGCACAGACCAGCCACCATGTAGTAATGTAAAAGTATGAATTCTTTGTTAGTTGTCAATGAATATCATTATACGAAATTATGGAGCACAGACGGGCTATCATATACTAATGTAAAGTAGGAATTCTTTGATAGAGATATGTCAAGGAATTTATTATCATATTTGTCTTGATCCTTTTAAACTGTTGTTTTTCTTAATACACATTGTAGTAGCCTGAATGTTGTCTGTTTTTTATTGATGAACTCATTCATGTTTAGTCAGGAGAAACACTGTTGCCACAATGGCGTTGTAAGTAGCTTCATTCACCTGTCTTTTTCCATTCGGTTTGTTCCTTCTTCTCTCTTTTCTGTTTCATTCTCCTTCTCTTAAATGCTTTGTCGTCTTTTTCTAGGGATAGGTAATGAACGATGGACAGAGTTGCAAATACCAAGGACACTGCAGACTTCATCCTTGTTGTCCTCTAGTCTCCCTGCCGTTCATCTTTGATCACCTTGCTTCTTGATTCTCACTATAGTGATTGTGGGGAGAGCTCTTATTCCGTAATGAGAAAAGACAAAGCGGTAGTTCTAGCAGCTGTCCGTCTGTAGAGCTCCTTCCTCGTTATAACTTCATTCTCGATTTCTTCCTCCGAACACTCTATGAAATGTAATACACCCCTTCCCCCTCTTTCTCTCTCTCTCTCTCTCTCTCTCTCTCTCTCTCTCTCTCTCTCTCTCTCTCTCTCTCTCTCTCTCTCTCTCTCTCTCTCTCTCTCTCTCTCTCTCTCTCTGTGTTATTTGCAGCACCAGAATTGTAGCAATAACCAAGTTCTTCGTGTGTGAAACAACAAACACAATATCATCTATTCTATTCAGCATTACAATTGTTCTCCACCTCATTTCACTTCTTTTTCTCACACGGTTCTTTCCCTTTATTAGGGGTATTGGTATCCTAGGTGCCGTATGACACGTGACTTCATATTCTGTAAAAATTTGCAGCTTCTCAACTGACAGGTCTATCGGAATTGTAATGATTACCGAGATTGCAACTCAAGGAGAGACTAAAAATGCCTTCAAGAAAAAGGTTTTGACGATAGAAGAATATATTCAGAAATCGCGTTCTTCAAATATCTTTGGTATGGGAAAGATAGTGTTGTTCGCAAAAATATTTTCTAGCAGTTAAACGGGTGCCTCTATAATCTATAAAATGATTCATGTTGCCAAAATACAGTCAGTTACATTTGCAAAAATAAACAAATTTTCAAACTTGTGATCTAGTAATGGCTCCTTCCTAAATATTCTTCAGTCGTTTATTAAAATTTATGCTTACGTGCAAAGTTGCCAAAAAATAACAAGCAGTTATTTTCCTCGCTTTGATTTCTGACGTTTCGTTTGGCTATAGTTTAAGACCAATCCAGTAATAAGATAATGGGGGCAAAAACTCACGTCACTTTATGGCAGAAGGATCCAAAATAACCCAATTATTTCCGTGAATAAATTACGTCCATTGAATATTTACAAACTAACAAAAAGATAGAGAACATTTGGAATTTTTAACCTGTTCTCAATTTATTTTTAATATCGAAAAGTTTTAGATTTTATCTTTGAACGATTTCTATCAGACACCTATAATAAATTGACTAAAATGTGAATGGCAGATAAACCAGCGATCGGTGATGTATGCATCTAGCGTTAGACACAATTGTACTCCCAGTTGTGGCAATTATTGGAACTAACTGATACTGTATATGTTACAAAGAAGCTAATTGACATATCCCATTTTTTTTCTATCGATAATATAAGTTCTAAAATCATCAGTAATCATATGTCTAACTTTTTGAATAACAAAAGATCTGTAAATATCAATTTACATTTCTAATTGTCTTAAAAAAATTACTTGAATGACTTTATACTCTTTTTATGACACACCTGATAAAATGCAACAATATGCATATGAAAATAATGAAACTGTGTTGGTTACAATATTATGTAACAGTAGGAACAAAAGGTTCCAATTTGTAAAGTTAAAGAAGTAACAAAGCTAAATGTTGTAAAATTATGTTATACGGTAAATAACTTAGGACGGAAAATATATTTTGTATGGTCATCGCCTACAATATTAGGTAATTCTATACTAAAAGGTTTTGTTAATATCATAATATTACCATAGTTGGTGTGGGTCCCGAGTGGCTTAGTGGTCAAAAGCGCTCATCGTTACAGATCATTGCCATCTCACCTTTGTCCGCGTTGGTTCAGTCTCGGGTTATGTGAGAAACCTTGCCTGCATAGTTGTTACAACATTATTGTATTATACTATGTAAAAGAAAGCAGGGAAGTCAACAAGCTTAACGAATCAAAGAATGTTTTGAGAACAAACTACGCATAACTAACTAGTGTCTTTAGTATCTAGTGACTGGCAGGCCATTAACCTCTTAAAGCTGAACGCCTAACGAAGCGGCTGTTAGTACCCTTAGTACGACTCGGCATGGGTTCGAACCAGCGACCTCCCACATCAGAGGGGGAAGTTTTAACCACTAAAGCCACAGTCAAGAACGATTTATGCTTGAACACATTATTATTATTATTATTATTATTATTATTATTAGTAGTAGTAGTAGTAGTAGTAGTAGTAGTAGTAGTAGTAGTATTGTTTTTTATTATGTTTATAAGAGAATTGCTTTGACTATTCCGCATGGCATAAGGGGGTGGGAGAGATTAGGATGATTATATAAAACAATTACAACGATGGCCGTACAGCTAAATCTACAAGTATTGCATGGCTATAAAACGGAAATATCATGTAATAGAAACGAAACATATCTTTAATCTGTGTTGCAAATTTTACTATTGGCGTTTGAAAGAAAACCCTCTTACGTGATAATAAACTTGTTCTTATATATTATAGTACTTCTTATTCTCAATGAACAAGCTTTAATGCTCTCTTCGGAAGAGAGAGAGAGAGAGAGAGAGAGAGAGAGAGAGAGAGAGAGAGAGAGAGAGAGAGAGAGAGAGAGAGAGAGAGAGAGAGAGAGAGAGAGAGAGAGAGAGAGAGAGAGAGAGAGAGATGGTGAGATGTCCTTACGTCCCCACTTCTATTGGCTGGTAGCCTATTCCTAACGACAGTTAGAAACAGTTGCTTTAATATCCAACATTCTTGTTTTAGCGCTTTCATCAACATGGAACCTGATATTATATCATAAACACAACAATCTAAGCAAGGAAATCCCAAGAAGTTTAAGAAGTATCGTCGGGTTGCTCAAAAGTTGAGATTCTAAAGTGCAACTTGTATACACTACATAAAGACGTAGAAAAGCCAGCTAGTCCCAAGACAATATTAATACAATATCTACTCCATGACAATTCAATGATCCGTGACGAAAAGAGTATTACTCGGAGGTATGCTAGAGTTGTAGATAAATGGTCTTACCTTCATGTTGAAGATTCTTAACGTCAATTATAAATTATTGTCACAGTGTCCAAATAAGGATAAGTATGGAAATATCGAGAGATTACTTTAATTCCGAATGTTTGTGATAAGGCAAAGTATCGTGTCCCAAGTGAACTTATGTGTAGATTGTTTGGGTTCTAGATACCGAAGTAATGATCTTGGCCTATTTAGCAGTACGTACCAATTTTCACCATGATTTCAATATTATACAGCAAGATGTACAGCAGGGCTACAATGTCTGGCTTTAAGTTTGATGAGATGTTTGGTAAACCTGGAGGATGAACATAGCGCTATGGATAGACTGATAACCTTGTTATCGTAGTTCATGTATGAAAGTTCCATAATCAGTCCTTACCGGATGTAAAAGCTTATTATATTTGCCTTTCTAAAAGCAATTTAGACATACTGTGGTGGGGTTTTTTTTGTATTTGAAGATCTTGATTTTGTGACTATTGCATGACCTACCAAAAACCGTGTCTTGAAAAAGTATCTTATCATCGATGTGCACGTAATAACCAAGTTAAAATAATTATGTATTTTATTTTCAGTGACAGGTACGTTTTACTAGATTCCTATTTTCATCTATAACAACCATTTTAATGACTCCTAAAAAAATGCACGACCTTTGTGCAGGGAGGTAAATGGGGTTTTAATATTTTTTTACTTACACTTTAAAGGGATCTGAGTGTTCCTAGTAATTGGATGTAAGAAATTCATTCTCTAGTAGTATATGAATAATGTTTCTGTATATGTAAGAAATTAATTCTCTAGTAGTTAATGGGTAATGTTTCCGTATTTGTAAGAAATTTATTCTCTAATAGTATGTTGGTCATGTTTCCGTATATGTAAGAAATTCATTATCAAGTAGTATATGGATAATGTTTCCGTATATGTAAGAAATTCATTCTCGATTAGTATATGGGTAATGTATCCGTATATGTAAAAAATTCATTATCAAGTAGTATATGGATAATGTTTCCGTATATGTAAGAAATTCATTCTCGAGTAGTATATTTGTAATGTTTCCGTATATGTAAGAAATTCATTCTCGAGTAGTATATTTGTAATGTTTCCGTATATGTACGAAATTCATTCTCGAGTAGTATATGGATAATGTTTCCGTATATGTAAGAAATTCATTCTCGATTAGTATATGGGTAATGTTTCCGTATATGTACGAAATTCATTCTCGAGTAGTATATGGGTAATGTTTCCGTATATGTAAGAAATTCATTATCAAGTAGTATATGGATAATGTTTCCGTATATGTAAGAAATTCATTCTCGAGTAGTATATTTGTAATGTTTCCGTATATGTAAGAAATTCATTCTCGAGTAGTATATTTGTAATGTTTCCGTATATGTACGAAATTCATTCTCGAGTAGTATATGGATAATGTTTCCGTATATGTAAGAAATTCATTCTCGATTAGTATATGGGTAATGTTTCCGTATATGTACGAAATTCATTCTCGAGTAGTATATGGGTAATGTTTCCGTATATGTAAGAAATTATTTCTCGAGTAGTATATGGGTAATGTTTCCGTATATGTAAGAAATTCATTCTCTAGTAGTACTTGGGTAATGTTTCTGTATATGTAACAAAAATATGTTAAAACTGCATGCGAATCGACACATTTCTGATGTTGGAGCTCAATATGGCCAAAGTGCTAATGTAGAGGTTCTTTACTCTAAACGATGATTCATTTGTTTAAAAACAACACGTGGCTATTGAAACTATTTGCAAAGTGCATATCCTTCATATGAGATCGGAGACTCGAGGCAGTTTTATATGAATTAAATATGTAAACCATATGATTAATATATCAGAAGGATCACGTGTGTTTTAAATATGCATGTTAACCAAGTATATTTTACATAATGTTTTCATATTTTATAAATATAAGCTTATTCTGAGTATGCTGCACTATTTTTAGCATATCCCGATACGTAAAACTGTATTAGGGCCACCACATTAATTGTCTGAGGCAGAAATTTGTCAAATTTCAAATCACAATAACAACATATTATATCTTTTATGTTAGTTGAACAAGTATCATTATCGTTAAATAAAAGATAACAAGTATCATTATCGTTAAATATAAGATAACAAGTATCATATTCGTTAAATAAAGGAGAACAAGTATCATCATCGTTAAATAAAAGATAACAAGTATCATTATCGTTAAATAAAAGATAACAAGTATCATCATCGTTAAACAAAAGATAACAAGTATCATTATCGTTAAACAAAAGATAACAAGTATCATCATCGTTAAATAAAAAATAACAAGATAACTCAGCTCGTAAGAAAATCACAGCCGCCTTACCCCCACAAAATACTTAATTGATGAGTACAGTGTGATTTGTATACGCGAGACAGTGAGAAAATAAAACAACTTTGACCATAAAACTAAGCCATTGACTGATTATTTAATAGCTCCACTTTTTATCCAAATGCCATTTTCAGTAGCAAAAAATATTTTCTGATTATCAAAGAATTATAAACTTTAACGTATTTTTTTTATTACGAAATGCAATTAATTAACAATTTGAACTAAATCATTTCAATACTTACAGCGGCATCAAAACTTAAAATTAATATATATCTTATTTACATTTAATATGCCTTGTGGGACTTGAGCAAATTATGTTCCCATTCTTTGTTGTTTTTTTTTTCTTTCTTTCTTTCTTTCTTTTCATGATGCACTCGTGCCAGTCACGCCTGGCAGCAACTAGTAAACCATTAATTTGGTCACAGGGTAACAACCAATGTCGATTGTATGGTCATAGGCAAGTTGACTTACTGTTAAGTCTGACTGACACTGTTGAATTATTAAATACGTCGGTATGATAAGCAGTCATTCAGCACCGACACACTAATTGAATCGTGAAAGAAAATTCTTAAACCGTAGAAATGTATAAAATTTCACAAGGGAAAAATTTAAACCTATTCCAACAATGCGTATCCCCTGTGAAAATGATTTACTATCACCGACATGTATCGGTAAATATGAATTTTCTCATTGAAAAGTGGTACAATCCTTTCATGTTTGTCCTAGACCAACATATTAATGCAAAGACTAATTGACTGTATCCAAAGCTTATTTAATTTCGCCATATCTTCTTGCATTATTAGTTAGACAGATTGACTGTAGTATTATTCCATTGCATGATGCCTCTCTCCTATCAAGACTTGTGTAGGCAGATACTAAACACGCCATGCTTGGATTGCATGCCCGACATTCTTCTGAGCTACAGTGGCTCCCCTTTTGATCGAATTACTAGTACAGGTATTTGCCATGGTTGAAGTGCATTATGAAGTTCTAAAATTTGACTTTCGGTACAAAATCAAATTGATGGATAAAAGGGAAGCATGGTAATAATAATAATAATAATAATAATAATAATAATAATAATAATAATAATAATAATAATAATAATAATAATAATGTTGTTGTTGAGCTTAACGCCATTTTTCAGCACACTATAGGCTATTCATGGCGGTTAGTATTAATGGTGGAGGAAGAAACCGGGAAATCACCGGAAAGAACCACCGACCCACGAGAAGCTTCTGGCAAGCTTTCTCACATATCCACATTCGCCGAATCCTAGACTCGAACTCACGCAGACAGAGGTGAGATGGCAGTGATCCGCAACGGACAGCGCTTTAGACCACTGGGCCACTAGGGGCCCCCTAATAATAATAATAATAATAATAATAATAATAATAATAATAATAATAATAATAATAATAATAATAATAATAATAATAAAATATAACATGGTAATAATAATAATAATAATAATAATAATAATAATAATAATAATAATAATAATAATAATAATATGGTAATAATAATAATAATAATAATAATAATAATAATAATAATAATAATAATAATAATAATAATAATAATATTTAATAATAATAATAATAATAATAATAATAATAATAATAATAATAATAATATTATTATTATTATTATTATTATTATTATTATTATTATTATTATTATTATTATTATTCAATAGGTTGTTTGTGATTTACATGCTTTCATTACCTACTTGCATATATTTCATCCATTCCGTCTACAGTCA